CAGACACCTGTCTTTCAAACCAAGACAGTCCAAAGCAAAAGTCAGTTTAGACCTCATTATGTCTAGGGAACTGGGAAATGCAGGTGTGTATTTTTCCCCAGTTGCTACTGGGAAGAAGATGTTCAGAGGTGTTTCACTGGAATTCAGGACTGGAATTGTATTTCAAAACAAGAATCAGTTAGACATACCCTGGCAATGTCTGTCTCCAATTTGCCATTGTAAGTTACTGCCACACGTAGCAACAGGATCGCCAACAAGAGAATATCCATGTCTGCAAGCATAAACAATGCTTTTCCCAACATGATATGAGTTTTCAGCATTCTGAAAGAAAAGGAACAGGTAAAATTTTGGATATACAGTGAAGGAACCACCAGCAGTGATGACTTGCCTTTGATTCTAGCATGCAGTAAAGGACATGGAGAAGTATTAATGCCAATCTACAATGCATGGATGAGAACATCTTGAATACTGGAGGCAATTCTGATTATCAATAGTCAGTAAATGTTTTCAAAATGGAGATGTTGCTGCCAATAGGTTGACAGGATACAGAATATTTGGGGTATATTAACTTTGCAAAAAGAGTTTCAGAGTTGAAGGCACCCTGTGACAGGGGTCTGGGAATGGTATATCAGTGACAGAACAGCACTCTCCTGCCAGTGTATAAACTGACTGCAGATATGGCTGCTACCAAGCAGTAGAGGGTGAACATAAGCTCTCAAACAGCCTTCTGGAGGGATCAGTGGAGAGTATATGCCTCTGCTAATTCTTAGGATGGCATGTTATCAGCTTGCAAAAGGATAATGTGATGTGGTTAGTTGAAAGAGCTGGATGTGAAGACACAGGTCATTTCTCAATTCATATCCCACTCTCTTCGAAGGAGATCTTATGGAAAAACAAGACTACACCACAAATGGCAGTGGTTTAGATTGGGAACCAAAATTATCAATATAGGAGACAACTACTGATCACTCAAGAATAAAAAAAAATTGGCAAAAAAGGGAATACAAAATTCTGGATCTTGCCTTAGGTTGGAGTTGTGCAAAGGCAACTAATGGATTCTGAACTAATCCTTTTATCAATTGACCAAAACGACTCTAGCCTGCCTTGTAGCACAGAGAAGGCATAATCCATGCCTTGCTGGATGACTTTTTTTTTTTTTTTTTTCCTGTAGTTTCCTGCGCTTTTATATGTAATTCATGTGGCTCAGAAAATTTACAGTATGTGTATAGGGTAAAGGACAAGTAGATTCCATGGCCCAGGAAAGCAAAGATTTTTGTCCTGGTTTTGGGGACAGGAATTTTCTGGTTTTCTTTCATCTTTAGTAAGAAGACTTGGCCAAAGTCATGTAAACTTCAGTCAGGGAGAAATGCTGAGGGAGCTGCTATACAGTAGCTCAGATACTAAGCTTACCAAGATAAATATAAATTTGCAAGTGAATATCTGTATTAACTGTGACAGAGACATTCCAGATAGGGATAGGACCGATAACAGAGTAATAGAATTAACTTACTTGAACAAATCCATTTACCAAGAGAGGAGGAGATGAACAGAATTCTGTAGGAGTTATGGATAAATCAAAACAGTGTGGTTCAATCAATCTGCAAAGGAAAGTATGATTTAGTTTGAATTTAGTTGCCTTGCTTTTCAAATTTCTAACACTTCTCAATGAAGCCCGTTTTCAAGACTATTATCTACCACATTTACATCACAATTATACTTAAAATTATACACTGTCAGGCTGTCAGAGAGAGTGCTAAATAGAATGGTGTCAAGTTTAGTGGCTTTCTCCCCATTTTCTAGTCTTACCTTGTGCCAGATTCACAGCTTCTGAATTTCATTTTACTTCTACTTAAATATGAAAGCTCAGTAAGTGATCTTCTTCCTGAATTCAATAGCTTATGCACCCTTCTGAAATAAATTTTTAAATCTTCCTGTAGTCATGACAAATGTTTTTTTCTGCTTACTGAAAATGCTGCAGCTCTTCATCTTCACAGGGTCTGCTTTCACTCTGCTCTCCTATGCAGGCCTTCCCACCACCTCGTGGGGAGGGGTTGCTGCAGGTTCGACTCCTTGATTTCCTTCCCCCTGAACAAGGACTCCAGGAAGACCAGCAGCTCCAGTGTCCATCAACAACACCTATGTGACATCAGGGAATATTTCACATTAAGCCATTCTGTTGGCCTTTTAAAGGCACAGGCTGTTCAAAGCTAGTGACAGTCCAAATTGTGCCCTTATAGGGATTTCCAGATTGCAATGGCCTGATCTTTCACCTTTCCCAAACTTGCCTTTTACATAACTATAATTCTTTGTAGTTTATATGTTATCAGAGTCTGACAGAACATAAAAATAGCTATCAGTTACAACCAATTACAACATTAAAACACAAATATTTTTGAAATTACTGATACTCATTCAGTATATATACTTATTTATAGCAGGTTACATCTTGAATGTTTAGTATCATCCACTGCATTTAACAATAAAAATAAAACCAGTTCTTCGTTAAGTAGTGTTTAGACACATTAAGCAAAGACTCAGTTTCAGCAAGATGACCCTCCTCAGGCTGTATGTCTGCAGTGGTGTCTGACCGAAGTAGCCACTGCACATCAGTTGCTCATTCAGGCTGTGCAGTGGGACAAAGAGACTCTGGAAGCAGGAGAGCACACTTTGACAATTCTAAACTCTCACAAGTTTAAAGAATGCTGACCTGGCTGATCTTGCACGAGAGTTCCCAGCTCACAAGATGCTCCAAAGGTGTAAGGCTTGCAGTAACACACACACTGAGTTCCTTCCACGGCTGCCTCACCACCATTCTGGCAAGGCTGACATTTGCAGGGATCATTTTCAGCCATATATTCTTCAATGGCTTGTTTTAAGTAGTGCTTTTTGACTGAGGAGCAAGGCACTTCCTTTACCAGCTCATATAATGGTGTTAGCTACACACAGTAGAAAAACATTTATTTGGGGATATTAAGTTTATAAGCACATTTAATTATGCAAAATAATTTGTGATGTATGCTCCTGCACATGGGATTCAACAGATGGTCTAATTAGCCATCTAACTAGCTAGCTAAAATCTTCTGTTACTATGTAATATTAGCCTTTTTCTAAAAAGTTAGCTCTGCTTAACAGCATCCCTTAAAGCTACTGGTAGATTACTCATGTCTAAACATATTTGAGCTATGAGATTATGGTTGAGACAGAAGTGTAATACAGACCTCCAATGTCGAGTAAACCAAATTCTCACCCAGCCATCCTCAGCCTAAAAAGCTGAGCAACCCATTATGTTATTTCATTAAGCAATGATAAAAGGTAACAATAAGCAAGAACATTTTGCATTTCTGTTGCCTATTTTATAATATTGTGTGCTTTTACATTTAATTGAAAACTTTCTGACAGAAAACCTTTGGGTTTATACCTTTCTTTAGCATGTGAGCAGTTCCCAAAAAGGTCTTAGACAAGGCAGCAGTGAATACGGTCTACCCAACTTTGAAGTGTCTCACTTCCAGAATCTCCAGTTATGCTAAACTTCTGGATGCAGAAAGAGGGAGGAGAGATGAAAGGGATACACAAAGTTGGCAAGCTGAGTGGAAGCAACACAGAGCTGCCAAGACTCATTTTAGGGAAGTGGTTATCTCGAATCTGGGCTTTCTCCAGTGCTAGGGTGATCTTCTGTGCTTATGCAGAACTCCACTGAAGTCAGTGAAGGCTCCTAAGGTTGTAGGTATTGACCTGCCAAAGCACTTACATTTGTGATGCAGCTCATCACGTTTATGACATTTTCTTCCTGTGGAGTTTGTTTTTTTTATAAATAAAATTATTGCATACTACAGCCTGAGTAATCACCAGCTATAGCTTAATCATTTCTTCCCTTGAGGTGATCCCATCTGCTCATCTCTGCTTCAGGAAGATAGCCTTACCTTTTGTTTAATTACTCTGGGATAGTCGGTCACTGAACTGGCCCAAAAGGAGTATCTCTGACTGTTCCCAGCAGGATTATTCAGCTCTAGATAACTAAGGCCAGCAACAGCACTTGGGCTTCCTCCTTCTATGTAGGGGTCTCCTTTAATCTTGGTACCGCTGCTTCCTGTAGGTTCAGGATGGGGAACACAGAAAATACTAGCATTGCTACATCAACAACTGGAAATAGAAACAATACATGCAAATACTACACTAACAAGTAGTGAAAGGACTCAATAGTTCGGATCAACCACCTGAATCAAGAGTTCCTATGTGGTTAATACATAAGAATTACTTGGTTTTGCAAGTGTCCTGGCAGCCATGACTTAGGGAGTCCAGAAAAGTACTAGTTACTGTCAAAACATTAGCTATGACTGATGAGTGTTGGGAGAGCCTTCTAAACTAGGAACTTGGTGTCTGAGTTCTGCGTATTCAACAAAGCTATCAACACCTGCTCCTCATCATGACAGCTGCTTAGGCGGTGATGGAAGACAGAACACCTGACAACTCTACGAGTTACTGTTGAACATTTACCTGAAGAACTCTGTAGCAATTCATCCAGTTTGGAGCACTCTACTTTTTTCTTTTTCACAATGAATGCATTCCAGCCTGATGTGGTGCACCGGTACATGTCTGTTATGCTCAAACCTGCAGACAATTGATCCATTAAAAATACTGCACACAGAAAGTGTGTTAGATTCACTTCTGAGTTTCCCATTGACTTGAGATGTCATGGAGTATTACACCTAAATTAGAAGGCAACAAACCAGCATGTCTTATTAGAAGGTTGACAGATTACTAAAGCCTATGGATGGAGGCTGAGAGATATAGGGTGTATCTGGAAAAAAGTTTATTCTTTCTTTTATCTCTTTACTAATTCTACAGCACTCTGCACACTGAGTACCATCACACGTGCCACTCTGGTATTTGCTCTGTCATTTTTTCTGCATTACGGAGTTTTACACAACCTTCACCTCCAAGTAACTTTTAAGCTTTAATGTTATTTGAGATTTAGATTGGCACTAGAATTCACGTTTAGCCTGATGAGGTCCTGAACGAGCCATCAAATCTCTGCTACTCAGAGCATTGCAGGTCACAGATGTGGAACTAGAATGAAATGTTGTGGTTTGTGAACTTCTTCTGTTCCTCTTTCTTTTGCCTACAAAGAGAATGTGGTGACTAGTGGAAATGTCTTACTTGATTTTCCGTATTAGCTGACAGAACAAACAAATACATTTTTTTTCTTCTTGATTCACTTTGTTTCTTGTAACAAATACTCTAGTACTCTACCTTCTTCTGTCATTTTCTCAGTATCCATATAAAAAATAACTTTGTAATGTCCTCCTAGAGATCCAGAGTGTAAGAAATGAGTCCCAAAATGTTCAATAAGTCTTCGGTAGACACTGTAATCATAGACAACTGGAAGGTTGGCTAGTTCCTTCCAGAATGGCTCCGCAAGAGTGAGAAAGTCTGGGCGGTTGTTAATAAATTGAGCAACTTCCACACTATTCTCAATGACCATCAGCTGCTTACTCTGGGGGAAGAAAAAGATGTCAGTCATGCTTCATGATTATCACTGTCAGGGTGTTTCCTACTAGCCAGATGACATGCACAGTGTATTCACTACTAACCAACAGCTTTACAGAGCTGTTAGATATGTATAAGCAACTTGGTGAATGCACAAAGTATACCTTCAAGCTAAGAATTATCTTTTGGACCTTTATTTATAATGGCTGCGTATATATTTAGAATTTATTTATAATTCTTTTCCTCCTGTATACTTGAAATCTAGCATAAGGAAAAACAAGAAAGGGATATATCACTTTTCAAAGCAAATGGTGGTTTCCAACACCAGAAGCCTGGCAGTAGCAGGTTAACAAGACTTTTCTGAAACCAAATCAGAGGCACTACAGGGGTTTCCCTTGCACCCTATGCAAGGAAATTTTTTTCTAGAGGACCCTTACAAAGAAAAGGTCTCTAGCCATTTTGAGGATGCTGCTGAATTATTCTTGTTGAAAAAACCAATATGCCTATACAATATTGCTCACCTCAGTTCCCCAAAGTTGCTTTTGAACTTTGCTATGCCAAGTCTCAAAATATGTCATTGTTAGTGTGGTAAAATGAGCTTGTCCTCTGTCATTCTGGTAGCCATAAAATGTATACATTTTTTACGCGATTTTTTTTTTTTTTTTGCTTTAAGATAGAGGTTATACTTCATAATTGAGTGTTACTCTAAAATTATTTATCTAATGGTTCTTTCTAAATAAATCAAAGGCATAAGTACTGTGATCTCCCAATTGCTTAAGACACCAGATCTCTCTGTTAATGGAAACCTACTAGTGGAAAATGTATTATAAAATAAATTAATCTTAATCACAGAATTATTTCCATTTTTTTCCCCCAAGATTCTGACAGAGATAACAGAAAAAAAAAAAGGCTGTCAATCATTCAAAGAATACTGAAAAGATTAATTGATTTTGAGGAGCTGCCAATGATTGTATTCCTCAAACAGGGAAGAAAACAGCTAGTTAGAAAATAAATTACTAATGAAGAGGTGAAATAGAGAAAGTGAAAGCAGCAGCCAACCCTTACTAATTAATAAAAAAAAGCAGTAATCTCTTTGTAAAGGTTTTATGGGATAAAGCGTATGTCACACACTTTGTGCCAAAAATAGGTGGATAAAATAAATATTTTCATCTCATTATAAACGCACATTAAAAAAATTATGAAAGTGTTTATGCAAAATACTAAGCCTATACATACGTTTTGGTTGTGTTGCAGAATTTTATTCTGTGAATAACTGTGTCCACTGTTTGAATTTTCATACCTCTCTGTGTGTTTCATATAAGACCAGCTGCTGTTGAAAAACTCATAACTGAAATCGTTCTGAATTTTAACCTAGAAGATGAAAGACAGAATACTGTATAAAAAATGAGTGGATGTGGCACTTGAGGCTATGGTCTAGCGGTTAGGGAAATGTTGGGAGGATGGTTGGACTTGATGACCCTGGAGGTCCTTTCCAACCACAGTGATGGTTGACCATGACTCTATAAAGAGCTTCATGAAGGATGTTAAAAATGATAACTTATAAAGTAGAGCAAGTCCTTTCTGATGTGAAAAATCCAATGTGTTTTTCAGGCTGAAACCATTTCATAAAAAGTACTATTTAGTACTTCAGTACTTTTCAGTATTTATTTCACAAAAAGTACTAAACAGATGCTATTGAAAAGCATCACTTTTTTAATGTTTGTATATTAAGTATTTATGTTATGAGATAAAGTAAAGGATTGCTTGGCACACTTTTGATAAATATGAGACAAATGAAATCTCTAAGACAGTGACTTCAAAAAAAGCATCTCTGGAAGATCTCCACAAAGCATCTCAAAGCCTTGTGCACATAATATTTCTTAGGGTGATTCAGGCCTCTCCTTATGCTAAGGAGATGGCTTTGCATGCAGTCTAACTGTGAGAGAATTACAAATCACAATCACAAAATCACTTTTTTCCCCTTTCTTTCATTTTAGCAGGATATACATTAGTTTGTATTTCAAAATAATATGTGACTGTAGAGAGGGAACAAGTATCATTTAGCTGCGTTTAGGGAAACCTACCTGCCAAGAGAACCTATGAGCTTTGCATCATTCTTCCAGTTTTAATCATGACCTTAAATATAAAGCCATGCTTAATGGAAACATACCTGGAAAGTATAAGCAAGAACACTTTCACTCAGACGGTAGTATTCTCTCCCATCGCCACTAAAGACCTTTCTACATTGTCCTCCAAAGCTTTGTGTATGAATGACTCTCCCCCTAGTCTCACCAGTAATGGCATCAAAGCTACAAGAAATAAAACATGAAAGATCATTAAGATGAACAGTTAGGAAATTATTTTACAGGAAGCAAAAATTATAGAGCCATTATAACTGAATGCTGCATCTGCAGATTAAGATCATAAACTGATTTACGCAAGAAAAAAGAAGGATTGACTGATAAGTCTTCTATATCTGCAGAACAGCAGCATGCATAGCATGTTACAATAGGGAAAGCAAAATTTTGCTCTTAATTTGTAAACAAAAATGAACACGTATCAGTATCTCTTAAAATTAAAACATGCATATCTATCACAACTGATTTTGTTAAGTTTTATTGTTCCAGCAGTTAATGCAACGGAAACAACAAGGCATCCATTACAAAATCATTTTTGTATCGTATCTGAACTATATCACATACCAAGTGACAAAACTATGCTAAAGAAACATAAGATAATTATTTTGCTAGGCTGTAAATGGGATGTATAAACAGAAATCTATATGGATCTGCAGTACTAAATGCAATGAATAAAAAGAATGAGCATTGCTGGCTCCTTTTTTTGATGCTGATGATCATGTGTTATTGGTTGAAGTTTAATTTCATATCTTAAAAGCTGTTTTTCAATAGCAGGAAT